TAGACCCTTCCTGCATCAGCCACATCCACCTGTCCTCCTGAAGGTCTCTGTCCAGACTATGGCTCTGACCTCCTGTCTGTCCCTCCGCAACAGTGGTTCTCAATCTTCCTAATGCTGTGACCCTTTAATACAGTCCCCCATGTTGTGGTGACCCCAACCGTAAAATTATTTCATTGCTACTTCATAGCTGTAATTTTGCTACTGTTGTGAATCATGATGTAAATATCTGATATGCCGGATATCTGATATGCAACCTCCAAGGGGATGCGTCCCACAAATTGAGAAGCACTTCTCTAGAGGTTGGCTGGGGGATTCTCCACATTGCTCATCTCCAACCACACACAGAGGGACAATTGCAGGACCAGGTTGGGTGACATATCTGGGGCAGGCGTTGGGGTGAGAGATAAAATGGTACCAGGCAAATGGGCTGTGCTGTGTGCTTGTTTTCAAGAAAGGTTATTACTATGGAGCCCAGGCAGCAGAGCTAAGGACTGTGCTGGCCCGGGCTGGTGCCAATGGCAGTTTGGGTCGCTGTGGAGCTGGTTCCATTCTCTCTCCAGTATATTCTCATCTCCGCACACCCCACTTCTACAATGTAATTAATAAAATGCACTAAATTAAGTGAGCAAAGAATTGCACTATGATTCAGGGCAGAGTGGTGGAGAGGCTGAGAACTGGAGGGGTGTGGCTAATTGTGAGATTGTTTCACACAGATTTCTGCTTGGGTTCCTTCAAACACCCTGGCTATCTGGCCACAGTAAGTAGAGAAGGGGACAACTTAAAGCTGCTCAGCCATGACAGCTGGAGCAGATGCAGCCTGCAGAGGTTGGATACAGGTCTCTAAACAAAAGGTCATCTCCCAGATCTGAGGCCAAGTCCCCTTCTCTCTTTCCTTTTTTTCATTCAACAAATCTTTACCATTTTTTTTTTCTGTGTACCAATAACATTTGGCATTCTAGAGTGATAGAGGACAAGACACATTGCCTGTGCTGAGGGAGTGTCAGCATAGTGGAGATGGCTCCAAAACAGTGTGATTGGTGTGAACATGACACATCACTGAAGACAGGCATCTTGGGGAAGTCCATGGATGGCTTTTCAAAATGGGTCATGTCTATGATGGGTTTGAAGTATGAATAGATGTTTTTAAGGTCAAGCAAGATCCACAAGGTACAGAGGCATGAGAAGATGCTGGAGAGTTAGGGAAACAGATGTTAGTAGGGAGGTGGGTCTAGAGCCAGTGGACACACCCCATGTTGCTGTGAGCAGCTGTCAGATGATCACAGTCATCATTCTCTTTAGAGTGTCCTGTAGGTGCAGAATGGATTTCAAGCAGTGCGGCCTGGAAAACAGGCAGCCATCTGAGAGGTCACTGTAGAAATCCTGGAGAGAATCAGGCTCAAGATCTCTCTAGAGAAAAGAGGTGTGACACTTGTCATACAATTAGACCTGAAAAGGGAAAGGTGCAGAAGGCTGTCTCCCAGGCCTGGGAGTGTACTGGCCTCAGAGGCAGAGAGATGTGTGCAGGTCCCCAAGATTTAGCTATGATACAGAACAAAGTGCAAAAGTGACTCAGACTGACTTAAATGAAGTCTCCACATCATGGGATAGTCTAAAGCTATTCACAAAAGGAAGGGAGAACTTGGGTACAGCTCAGGGGTAGACACCATGCTTTACCATGCACTGGGTTTTGGTTCACCCATAGCACAGAGGAGAAAGAGGTAGGATGTGGGGGAGGAGGAAGATAAGGGAGGGCGTGAGAAGTTGTGGGTACTGATAAGAAAGAGAATTCATGATCTCATATATATATATTGTATGGACACCTGGGTCCACAAGTGTGCATGTGCATGTCTTTGCAAACACTGATAAAGCAATGCAGCACTAGTGAACATCAGAGGGGCGCCCATAGAGTTCTCTGTCTCTACCATATGCACTTGGGTGTTACTAGGATTTCTCTAAGTGTGTATGATTGTGACAGAGTTCTAGAAGAACAGTATTCCAGGAGCAGGGAACAGCACATGTGAAGGCCCTGAAGCACACACCAGTTTGTTTGACCAAAGGACAGAAAATATTCTGGAGCTAGAGTGTGGTGAGGAAGGGGAGGTGGCAGAAGATGACATCCTGGATAGAAGGCCAGGACACACATGGCCCATAAGGCCATAGCAACAAAATTGAGTTTACACTGAGTAAGATGTGACCCACAGATGATGGGACACACTTAGTAGACTTCCTAGGGGAGACCTTGCCTTCTCCATGGAGCAGATGGTGGGGGGAGAGGAGAGGAGGGAGGGGGAACTGGGACTGGAATGTAAAAATTAAATTAATAAAAGAAATGCAAAAAAAGAGATGTGACCCACAGATGGGATTCTGTTATGTGATTTATGATTTAAAAAGAAAAGAACATTCTAATTAGGTTTGAACTCAGCACACAGGAGTTTGAGACACGAGGATCATGAGTTTGAGGTTAGCTTGGACTATAGCAAGATGATACACTACAACACACACACACACACACACACACACACACACAGGCTGGAGAAATGGCTCAACAGTTAAAAGCACTGACTGTTCTTCCAGAAGACCCAGGTTCAGTTCCCAGCACCCATATGGTAGCTTATAAGTGTTTGCAACTCCAGGCCCATGGGATCCCATGACTTCTTATGGCCTCTTCAGGTTCCAGGCACACATATGGTATATGGACACACATGTGAGCAGAACACCCATACATATACAATAAATAAACAAGAATTTAAAAATCATTCTGGCACTAGAGTGTGACTTACTGGTGAGTATCCACTCAGCATGGATGTGTTTGAGTCCATACCCACCATAATTAAGTAAATAAGTAATAAGCTCACACCAGTGACACAATTTCTCCAACAAGGCCACACCTCCTAATAGTGCCATTCACTGGTGACCAAGCATTCAAACACATGGTTCTATAAGGGCCATTCCTATTCAAACCACCACAATAAGTAATAAGATTATGGTGGCCACCAAGAGGCTCAGTAGCTGATAATTTGTCACAGAAACATAAAAATTGTCTGGAACAGAGGTTAAGGCAGGGAGGGAAATGCTAGTCTGAACTCACTCAGGGGCCATGGAGTAGGGGCCCCAGACTTCCCACAAACCCCTGGATCTATCGTGGCAGCAGAGGAACCAGATGTCTGAGAACTAGGTTCAGTAGAGACAGGAATATCAGGAGTCCAAAGCCAGCCTGGCCTACCCAAGACCCCATCTCAAGAGACAAACAATAGGCAGAGAGATGAAGCAGGGGTAAGAGCACTTGCCACCAAGCCCAAAAATCTGAGTTGAACCCTCATGACACACATGGTGGAAAGAGAGAGTAACTCCATCAGATTACTCTGCTGTGCAGACGTGTGCTGTGATGCACGTGTGCATACATACATGCACACACAATATATTAAACATAAACTTTATTTTTTTAGAAAAGAAACAAGAGAAGCGCCAGGTTATAATCCGACCCCCTAACTATGTGACTATGCTGTGCCCGTTTCCTCTCCTGTGAGAGGGGTTGTGCGATTCTGTGTGAAGAGCAGAGCACAGAGAACAGTACAGTGAGGCCCAATGGTGTGTGTTGGGGGCGGGGGATTCTGTTACCTCAGCAGACCAAAAGCACTCCAGAAAGGAAAAAGCTGGTGCGGCCAACAGTCTAGAAAAGGAGTACACTTGGGAGAGAGAACTCACTGGGGCAGATTCCATGGGAGAAATGACTCAGAGAAATCCATTCATCTGTGTGCCTTGGGCTTCTGCTTGAAGTGGAGATTCAAGCGCAGAGGGAAGGTGGAGAGCAGGTAGCTTGACCCAAGAGTACCTGGGGCCTCAGGGGCGGCTGGGAGAACCATTCAGCTGCCACAAACTAACCCTGCCACCCAGAGGAAAACAGAGCCCTTGAGAGGCCATGGGGACAGAGGTCTTCTATCACCAGGTGACAAAGCCTGCCACACAGCCTCCTCGTAAACATTTGATATATGCCATCAGTCTGTCCCCTACGTGGCCACCAAGCCCTAAAAGTCAAACTTTACCACCAGTAAAACAGATGATGCAGGCCTGCTCTTAGGGGCCCCCAGTCCCCATAAAGGGAACAAGAGAGGCCTGAGCCCCCTGAAGGAGCAGGGACAACATGACCACACTGTACAACTTCCACAGGGCGCCACATGGACATTCCCGTGCAGGGACCCTGGAGCACAACCACAGGCACACTTGGTGCCTCCATGCTCACACTGAATAGATTTGGAGAATTCACCCACCATGCTAAGGAAGGCATGCACACAGAGTCCTGCTCAAGCAAGCTCACACTGGATTCCAGGTCCTATCTCAAAAGCCCAGCTCTACCTGCCCTTTGATGTGAAATTTTGGTGATGTAATCCCTCTGGGATGTTTCGCCACTATCAGTGGCAGTGAGAGGGACAGACCCTTCATCAGGAGGTTGATAGGAGTCTTGGCTGACAGAGATGGACACCGGCCATTAGTAACAAATCCTCCAGCAGCCACCAGCCCCCTTTGTGAAAAATGTTGGTTCACCACAGTGATTCCTAGTGATTTGTGGTTGAAGCCAAGTCCTACTGGCTCAACTAAGTGCCTCAGGATCAGTCATGTGTGCAAATAGGGCATGGCTCCAGGGGACCTGAGCAAGCAGAGGAAGCAATTCCGGCAGCAGGACAGTCTCTCAGCTGAGAGAATTGGCTCCTTCCTGCCAACTGAGGGACCCTGAGTTTCTCGTCCCTTGTCCCTCAGTCTCCCCAGGAATGCTTGCTGGAGCTTTCCAAGGAAATGGCAGGCCTGTGGGGTAGGATTATCACCCAACCAAGGTGCCCCTCTTTCACTGGCCGCCCCACACTTTGTCACACCCAGAGACAAACAGTGCTGTGGGACAGGACAGCCACCTTCTGGAAGCTCCATGGCTACAGGAGAGACTCCCCAGGCTCTGCAAGCTACCCGACCAGGGCAGGTCCCCAGGGAGGGAAGAGCTAACTACTTACCTTTCTCTGAAGCGGGGGCCAGGTCAATGAAGCTGCGGCATTTCTCACCTTGGGAAAGAAAAGAAGGGTTTCAGAATAGGAGGACACAGCTTCACAATCTGCCTGACCCCTTCCGAGAGTCCGGGAGGCAGCACCACCCCAACCAGACCCATGAGGTAATTCTATAATCAGGATTCCAAGCAGTACTCTGTGCCAGGAGCTTGGGTGGGAACCACCAGCTCTGCATCTTGGCTAAGCCAAGGCCTGAGCTCCTTCGCCTCCTGCCCTTCATCTCCTTCTGGCCACCACCCTACCCAGGCTGTACTTCCAATTCTCCCAAACTCATCCAGTTCTGTTCTGTATGCTGATCACATGAACCATATGCCTGTGCACGTGCACGCACACACACACACATGCACATTTAATAACACTCCATAGAAGATAGCTCAAATTCCCACTGTGGATTCAGAAAGGCTTCCACTGGCCTATCCAGGGTCCTCTCAGCTCCCCAATTGCTCTTGTCTGTTAGGAGCCTCCATAGTTCTCAAAGTTCCCTCAAGGGCTCTGGATCCTGAGCTTCCTGGCAGCCATGTGACAATGACAAGGCCCCCAGTGCTGTGGTGGTAAATGAGGCTAAGACAACATGATCACAGGGGGCTTGAAAGTCCTTCCAAGGAGTTGTCTCCATTCCGATTTGTGTCACTCCTGCCTATGATCCATCAGGCACCCTGGGGTGGACAGCAGGCTGGTGCTCAGGCATGCTTATTTCCACCCTCTGCTCTGCACGGGGAGGTCAGACCCTCCCTTTACAGATGAAAACAGGAAGGCTCTGAGATGCCAAACCACCAGCCTGGGCTGAATGGCAAAACAGTGATGCTCAGATTATGATCAACAATGTAAAGAGAGATGTGTTGACCAGCAAGAACATTCTGGAAGGGAGCGATAAGGAGAACAGGGCTGAGGAGCTGGCCTAGTGGCAGAGCAACAAGCACACGTAAGGACCAGGGCTCAAGCTCAACCACATCTCCACTCAAAGGAAGAAAATGGATTCTTTTGTTAGATTTTGATAAGTATGAAAAAGCATATGGTAGGCATAGAAAGATAGATGATACATACATAGATGATAGATGACAGATCAACAGGTCATAGATCATAGGTAGGTGGGAGGTAGATAGATACATGACAGATAAAAGCCTTAATAAAGACCCACTTATTGCATTTTTCTTCATCCTGCATCTTTTGGGATTGTATTTAAGAATTGCTTAACCCATCTCATGGAGATTCACCCCTTCCATCTTCAAACCTTGTACCTTTGATACTTGCACTTCGCCATGGGTCTATTATGAAAGGGTCCAGCATCGGCACATGGGTCCCAGTTATTCTGGCACCACTACTGCAGATGGCTTCTCAGCACTGAATTGTCTTGGCACATTGGCAAAAACCCATCAGCATGAGTGCAGGCTCCATCTTGTATGTGGTAGTTCTTCATGGCTGCCATTACGCCAGCACTATATTATCTTCGTAGTAAGTTTGGAAATTAGAAATTCTGAGTTTAAATTTTGTTTTGGTGGGCCTGGAGAAATGTTAGATTTTGAATAAATAGTTTTAAACTCTCTTTAATGATATGTTATTTCCCCAAAAGCTGTGGAGGTAAGTGGGGTATTCAAATTCAGACCAGACCAGCACACTGATTGGATCTTGGATTCATTGCCTTCATGAGCTCTTCCCTACACAGAAAAGAAAACCAATGTCAAAAATGATATTCCAGCCAGGTCTAGTGGCAGATGCCTATAATCCCATCATCTAGGAGGCTGAGCTAGGAGGAGGATCATGAATCTGAAGACTGTCCAAACTTGATAGTGAGACTCTGTCTGTCCTAGCTAGGGTTCATATAGCTCTGACAACACCATGACCAAAACCAACTTAGGAGGGGAAGGGTTTATTTCATTTACACTTCCGTGTTCCGTGTAACAGTTCATCATCAAAAGCAGTCAGGGCAGGAACCTAGAGACAGGAGCTGATGCAGAGGCCAAGGAGGGGTGTTGCTTACTGACTTGCTTCCCGTGGCTTGCAAAACCTACCTTTTTATAGAACCCAGGATCAGCAGTCCAGGGATGGCTCCACCCACAATGGGCTGAGCCCTCCCCCATTGATCACTAAATAAGAAAATGCCCTACAGCCAGATCTTATTGAGTCATTTCTCATTTGAGGTTTCCTCCTCTCAGATGACTCTAGCTTGGATCTAGTTGACAACAAACTAGCCAGCACACTGTCTCAAAAAATTTATATTTTACATCCTCGTTGGTATAAAGATGAATGTGTTAAGTATCAAGCACGTTGCCCACTTAAAAGAAATTAAAACATCCGCATGGGCCTGTGAGAATATGGTGGACCCTGACTTTCCCCTGGGCCTCAAGAGGGCAGGCTCCCAGCACCAGCTCTGGCTCCAGCTCCCACCAAGCCTAGCTCTAGGTCATATTTAAGGTTTATATGCCAGGGTTTTGCTGTCTTTTACCTTTAACAGTGCTTTGCTTGAAGTATAATCCACATGGCCCAGGAGTCACTGTTCTAAGGGAGGTCAGTGATTTTCTATGTATCCCCAGTATTGTCACAAGTCTTGGTGACAATCCCTACGATCAATTTTCCACATTTTCATTGTCTCCAAAAGAACCCCTGTACCTATTAGCAGTCCATCCTCCCTTCCTCCAACCCTCCCAGCCCTAGGCTATGACTAATCTATTTTCTGTCTAGGTTTGCTTAGTGTGGGATTTCACAGAAATGGCATTCTCCAGTCAGTGGCCTTTTGTGACTGCTTCCCTCTCTTAGCATCATGGTCCTTAGGTGTCTGAGGTGTATAGTGTATTGGCACGTCATTGATCAGAATTACATCCCTTTGTTTTGCTTTCTGCAGCTCCAGTTACCTGTTGTCAACCACAGTCTCAAAGTAATAAATGGAAAATTCTACAAATAAAAAAACTCAGATGTTTTCGTCACTCTCCATTTGTAACAGCATGGTGCTTGCCCACACTCATTCTAAACCCCACCCCTCTGAGCAATAAATCCACACTGTATACAAAACCTCTTGTCAGCTCCTCAGTAGCCTCTTTGTTATCACCATTCTTGTATCTGGGTAACCCTTATTTTACTTAATGGAAGTCCCAAGCTTAAGGATAATGGGCAAAGGGAAGAGGCTCCATGCAGAGAATGTGGAAGGACAGATAGCTTGGGGACCATGTGGCAGCACTGCAGAGCATGGGGGAAACTAGTCTAAATCCAGTTTGCTCTATAGGAGTGTTCCAGCATCCACCGAGTCTTGGAGACAAAGCAGACAGTACTGTTAATTGCATTTCAGCGATCCATTCTCTAGCCCATAGACATTGGGTATGTGCTCCTTTTGGGGACATTTGCTTGTGTTCATGGACAAGGTTTTTGTTGGCCAAGTTTTTGTTTCTCTAGGGCCTTCTCTGGGAGTAAAATCATGGGTCGTGACCTCAAGAAGACACAGGCTGTCTCCTAAACAGCTGCGCCACCCACAGTGGAGGAGGCCCCTATTTTCCCAATACTGGGGATTACTTGCCCTTTGTGACTAGGGTTATCATTGAAGTGACCTGGTTATATATCTAGTAAGTGCCTGGATAAGTATGAAAAAGCATATGGTAGGCATAGAAAGATAGATGATACATACATAGATGATAGATGACAGATCAACAGGTCATAGATCATAGGTAGGTGGGAGGTAGATAGATACATGACAGATAAAAGCCTTAATAAAGACCCACTTATTGCATTTTTCTTCATCCTGCATCTTTTGGGATTGTATTTAAGAATTGCTTAACCCATCTCATGGAGATTCACCCCTTCCATCTTCAAACCTTGTACCTTTGATACTTGCACTTCGCCATGGGTCTATTATGAAAGGGTCCAGCATCGGCACATGGGTCCCAGTTATTCTGGCACCACTACTGCAGATGGCTTCTCAGCACTGAATTGTCTTGGCACATTGGCAAAAACCCATCAGCATGAGTGCAGGCTCCATCTTGTATGTGGTAGTTCTTCATGGCTGCCATTACGCCAGCACTATATTATCTTCGTAGTAAGTTTGGAAATTAGAAATTCTGAGTTTAAATTTTGTTTTGGTGGGCCTGGAGAAATGGCTCCTCACACAGACATATATGCAGGCAAAACATCAATGCACGTAAAATAAAAATAAATAAATTATTTTTAAATTTTGTTTTGGCTATTCCGGGTTTCTGGCATTTTCATGTGAATTTTAGGACCAGCTTGTCGATTTTTGCAGAAAAGCAAGTGGGAATTTTGTTCAGGATTGCATCAAATCTGGAGGGCACCCGGGGTGGAAGAGCCAGCTCAGTATGGTGTCCTCCTTCCATTACCACTGGCCGCCTTCCCGTCTTCTTTACGTCCACCTGCATTCTTTCAACGTTTTGTAGTTTTCAAAGAATGGGCTTGGTGTTTTTTGCTATGTAACTTCCCGATTCTCTATCTTGTGATTATTAACAGAGTCCTTTCCTTCATTCTACGTTTGGGTTATTTGCTACTGGTATCTGGAAATACGATCAGTTTTAGATGCAGATGCTACATGCTGCCATCGCACTGAACTCATTCACCAAGTCTGATGGCTCTTACTGAGTTCCCAGGATTTGTTGTGCAAAATACAAGCTCATGTCATGTACAAGTACAGGAAGTTTTGCTCTCTTTCCAGTCCTGGTCTCCTTCTTTCTTTTTTGAGGCCATCTGCTTGGACTAAACCTACAGTACAATGTTGACTAGAAGCAGCAGGAGTGGACCCCCTCATCCTGTCCCCGGAGCAATCGTCTCATTCCATTAAGTTTGTGTTAACTGTGGGTTTTCCACTTTTATCCTTTTTAGTCTGAAGCTTTTGATTTTTGTCTGTAGTGGTTTCAGGCATTTGAATATTTGGTCCCCAGTTGGTGGCACTATTTGGGTAGTGTGCTGGCTAGTTTTACATCAACTTGACATAAGCTAGAGTCATTTGAGTGATGGGAACCTCAACTGAGAAAATGCCTCCATAAGATCAGGCTGTATGCAAG